TTTTTTAGCCTGGTCTACAAGCTACACAGAGAAACCCTGTCTTGAAAAAAAAAAGGATGAAGAAGAAGAAAATTCTCTTTCTATACATTCCTTCTGAAATATGATTTGGTAATATTTTTCAGTCAAGTAAAAAGCAAGTCCCAGACCTAAGGAGATGTGGAATTCACAAAATCACAGAGCCTACCTAGGCAGCGTACAAGAGGGGTCCAAAGGATAGTGGCTGGGCAAGACAATACAAGTTATGTAGGAAGTGATGAGGGTGCTGAGAACCACTTGTCTCCACTCTGCAGTGAGAAAGGCTGGAGTCTACTCCACAATCGCCTTGTTAAGAAGCCTGGGATACAGCTCGGAAACCAGCTGTTTCCAGCTATGCCGCCTGGGTGCTTTCCAACAGAGTGGCCATGTGTTATTTGACTCACTGCATCTTAGTTTCCTCATCTGCAGAGTGAAGTGCCTCATTGACTGGCCTCCTAGGGTTGCTGCAGAGAATGAGGGAGTTGGACATGTCTGCAGAGCGCGAGCCAACAAACACCGTTACTGCCATACTTGCATGCCCATGCCCGAGCAAGATGGCGCAACATAAAGCAACCAAACTGTGTATGGTTCTGGGAATTTAGAACATTGACGATAAAAATCGATATTGCCTTGATGTTTGAAAATTCTCTATGTGGCCTGAGGTTGGTTAGTGATGGAATTACGTTTTGATCCTAGTGGGTTCCTCAGTGCTGGGCTCCCCAGCAAGTTCTGTTCATGCAATTTCACAGGATAAATTCTGATCCATTTCTTGCTTTAAAATCCCACGGAATCTTGCCTGCATTTGCAGAGCATGGTAGGACTATTGCAGACAACCTTGGGGGACACTGTGGTACCATGGGCAAGAAGCCTGTAGGTCTCTCATCTTGCATGTTGGGCATCAAGGGACCTGGCGAAAGTTGATGCTCCCAGAAATAGAGCCTTCAGCGTTCCTCTTGAAGTCACAAGGGCAACCACCAGAATCGCTAAAAATACAACAGAGTTGAGAAAAATTGGGAGAAGGCGGTGCAGGGGAGGGGATGTAGGCAGAGGTGGAAACAGACTCCACTCATTTTTCACACCCAGGAGCCCTGGGACTTGTCTCTGGCTCACAAAGCAGGAGCCAGATCCATATGGCTAACACGACTATAATGTTCATGTACTGGCTGAGATATGGAAAGATACAGCAGGCCAACAAGAGGCAAGAGGCAAGTACTTTGAAGAGTGGAGTTTGCAGGCAATTGAACTCAGGTGATATATTCTGGATTGACTGGATAGTGCACCGAGCATGTATTTTGCTTTTACAAGTGAATCTCTAAAGCTGGATACTGGCATCCCCTGAACAGCCCCCAGCCATCCTCCAGCTAGACAGCAGGATCCGAGGAAAAGTGCTCTGAGGGTGTCAGGACTGTTCTCCTGCCAGCTATGGCAGCAGCTTGGAAGCTGCTGCGTATGACAAGATGCCACCAGAGGAGATGCAGAGGCCAAGACTGTGAACTCTCTGGACTCTATGTGCACTCTTTCTTTAGAAAGAGTGACAGGCACCCTGGGAGATGCCTGTCTTTTCCCCTTCAAAACAAAAGGCACAAAATGTCATGTGCTTAAAAATAATAGGATTTTTGCCAGATGTGGTGGTGAGGCAGGAGGGGCCCATCCAGGGCTACGTATTGAGTTCTATGACAGCCTGGGCTACAGGAGAACTCTTGTCTAAATTATGATTTTTAGATACATTGCAATATTAAGAAAAGAGTAAGCAAGTTGAGTACTGTCTCATAATTTTCAATTTTATATTCAATGCATATTCTTCAATCCTATTCAAATATCAACTCTATGTTGCAACAATTAAAATGGAATGTTCCAGAACACACAGAGGTCCAGGAGCCTGGACTGAGTAGAGAAGCACCCTGGCTATTTGGAGTATAGAGGTTCACACCTTATATTACCTAGCTGGATCTCCACCAAGGAGGGTTAGGATACTTATTGTCTTTTCATGTGGCTGTTGCTCTGGACTACAGCTCCTCTAGGGGCATACTCTGAGCCATGTCCACTGTCATGACTCCAGTGAGTGCTGAGAACTTTTCCTCACCAGGCAGGGTCCCTTGGTTCCATAGCCCCCACCCCATCGTCCTAGCCTTCTGGAGAGTTCTTGCTGCTCTTCACTGGCTTCACTTCTCCAATGCCTTGTTTCTTCCCTGAGTTATTCCCTGTGTCCTCAGATCGAAACTCTATGTGGCAGCAATTTGTAATTGGTCTGGAAGACACAACACTACCCATGCCCAGTGTGGGGACAATGATTTTGTATTGAAAAGTTTATTTTAGTTCTTTACAATTAAATTTTATATGTTAACTTTACTCTTTATTTTAGATTTTATTACACTTGTGTGTGTGTGTGTGTGTGTGTGTGTGTGTGTGTGTATGTTTATGTATGCTACAGCATGCAGGTGGAACTCAGAGGACAATTTTCAGGAGTCAGTTCTCTCTTTTCACCACGTGGTTCTGGTTGACATGGGATTGAACTCAGGTCATCAGGTTTGGTGGCAAGCACCCTTAACCTCTGAGCCATCTCACTGGCCCTGATTTGCCCTTTACAACAGCTTCAGGGTTAAAGAAAGAGTACACATAGAGTCCAAAGAGTTCACAGTCTTGGCTTCTTAGGTCAGCATAATGATCTTTTATATGGGTGAACTGATAATGGCATGGGACTCGTAGCTGACGTTAAGGGTCCTACTGGACCTTCCTGTGCTGCTGGGGTTCTGTTGTGAATGTGTGGTGACTTACTCTTACTATCATGGTGTCATATAGAGTAGCCCTCACTTATGCTCTGCTTGTCCACCTTCCCACAACCTTGCCAGCCTTGTGTCTCTTCCTCAACAAACTGGGCTGGCGTGGGTGTGCTGGGAGCAACTCCAAGGATCTGCTGACCTATCCTTTCTTGTCTTCTCCAGGCCTTGCAAAGCCCATCGGGCTGGTGGAGGGGCCAGGTGGCCTGGGCCAGGGAGGAGTGGCGGCCACTCTGCAGGACGATAGCCAAGAGACCGAGGGCAAGTTCGAGGAGTTTGGGTACAATGCACAGCTCAGTGACCGCATCTCCCTGGATAGGACCATTCCCGACTACAGGCCCAAGAGGTGAGCAGCCTGGGCTTGGCAGCTGAGGCCTGAAGGCGGGATTCTGCTGTACAGGGTTACAAATGGACCCTTGGTCTCTTTGTGTCCCTGTCTCCCTGATTCCTCTGTCTCTCTTTGTGTCTCTTCTCTGTCTCCCTCAATCTTTCTAAGTCTCTGTCTCTCTCTTTGTTTATTTCTGTCTCCCCCAATCTTTCTAACTCTGTTTCTTTCTGTCTCTGTCTCTCTTGACCCTCTGCTGTCTGCTGTATTCATCTTTTTGACATCCAGCCACCCGTTCAGTCCCCTTTCCTTTGGACTCAGAGGCTGTCAGGCTGGAGGTGGCTGATCTATTATGTGAGTCCAGCTATAGCTGTGTGCATGTACTTAAATGCACACAAGCGCTCACATGGATTTGGACACCTGAGCTACAGGCTTTGGTCACTGCTCAGCGTGTTCATGTCACTGGCTTTTGCAGCTATTTCTGCTATGCCAGTACTGTCATTGCTTGGTGAGTCCCAAGTGTCACCAGTCCTTCAGAGGCTGTGACCATATCGCTTCTCCCCACACAAAGAAGCAAAGGATCCAAGAGAGTTACCTTCCTCATTGCTATGGCCTTGCTTGTGTCTCTGAGGACTGGTTATTATCTCATTCCAAAAGCACAAAGGGGCCTGACCAGAGCTGAGTATTGAACAAATACCTTGATAGGAGGATTAGCCAGGCCCAGCATCAAGGCTTTGAATTGGCAGCAGCAAGCTGGCTGCCCTTTGGCTCTGTCACAGACTACCAGGACAGAAGGCCTAGACAGGGAAACTCTCTGCAGCTCCTGATGTCTGAGCTCAGGGAGCAGCTTACTGCCAGAGTGCCTCGTGGGGCCTGGTGAAGGTAGATGAGAGGTGAGTCTGTTTGCAGTTCCTCTGTTGCCCAGTGGACCCAAGACTAGAACTCTATCAAGGAGCTTGCTGCAGAGGATGGGGCCAGGAGGAGGAGGGAACAAGAAGTTCAGGAAGGTGCCTCATCAGAAAAGTGGGTGCAGTGATGGAGAAAAAAGGAGTGGACCACCCACCTCTTTAGACTGCTTTTGAAGACTTTATTCTCCACCTCTGCCTTGCTCTGTACTTGGGCTTGGGTCGTAAGACGGCCAAAGCCCAGAGTCCCGGGTGGCTGTGAAGGTCCAGAATCTGGAACAGTTCTCCGGGGCTATGCTTGAACCAGCTCCCAGGATGGTGCCTGGGCCTAGGTGCTCCTCTGAGCATGGAGCAGAGACTGCAGCTCCGGGGATATCCTAGTAGCTGTGCTATTTTTTAAGTCCCCAAAATAACCTGTATTTTTCATGCCTGATTCTTTATTTTTGGGCATTTTCTGAAATTCAGAAGTTGAATTATTTACATCATGAGACAGACCCAGGGAGCTAGCTGCTGCCTTTAAATTTGGGGTTGCACAAAGGTTTCTGACATGCTGTGACAGAACCTGGTAAGACCTGCTATAGTCTTTCTCACAGCCTCCTGATCCAGGTTGGGAGGGTGAGGAAGAGTGGTGGACAGTGTGGGTAGGGTTCTGACATGGACAGTTCACCTGCATCAGAATGTCACCCACTCGTCTTGCCAAGGAGCAGTGAGCGCTCCCTTCCCAGTGAGTAAACCGAGGACAAGTGTATTCAACACTTCATCACTCAGCTCTTAGACCCTTTCTCCCCATGTCTGGTTTCATGTGTTATGGCAGAAGCTCCATGTTAGGTGAGGCATGTGTGCCAGGCCTGGCCAATCAGAGTGTAAGCATGATGGGAACCAGCCCAGAGATACTGTGCCAGAAGCATGTTAGGGCTGTCAAGAAATAAAAACGGAATAAGACAGACATCCGAGCATGCAGGCCAATGGGCAAGGTGAAGTGGGCAGGTTCTGAAATGATGTTTGGAGAGACACCCATACCACCCAGGTACCCCAAATGCCTATCACATGACAGTCCTCAATCTAGAATCTTTGTAGAGGCCTCCAAATTCCTGCCCCTCCAAAACCATGGCAAGAAATGGCTGTTGTATTGAGTCATATTCTTAGAGGCTATTGTGTGCAGTCAGCAGTTGGACATCCGGCAAAGAATGCCAAGGTGAACACGTGGGCGGTGATGTCAGTGTTGTCTGTGAACACTGCCTATTCAGCAAATAAACACCTGGTGTTTAGTGACAGGTGTCTGTGGTGGCTAAGTGGGGAAACTGATCATTGCAAGCTCAGTCTAGGCTCCCTCAAAGCTTTCTTGCTGTGATTTCCTCAAGGGCTTCACTCCTATCACAGCCAGAACCTGCCTGCAGGACTGGCAGACATGGCCATCAGAAGCTGGGCTGCAGGAGTATGTGTGTGTGTGTGTGTGTGTGTGTGTGTGTGTGTACATGTGTGCATAAGTGTGTGTGTGTGTGTGTCCCAGCACCCACAGGCAGCACCATCCACTCAAATGAGTTCTCATGCTTCCTTGTCAGAGCCATCCTCAGACCCCTTTTGTCTGGGGGTGGACAGCTTTTCTAATTAAGCGGCAGCTTTAATTATGGCACAAAGTGTATCACATAGATGTTGATCACTAAGCCTGCCCCTGGGATGATGAAAGGAAGCCAGTAAATCCAAATTAAACAGTGTCATCAAAACGAACAACCTTCCCCAGAAGCCACAGCCATGATGTCCCTTGTCTCATGTTTGCAGTCTCCATGCATATTCATTGTCTGAGCTAGGAACAGCTTGGCTGTCAGCCCCGATAAGTGCAAACTGAGTGCGTGGCAATGGAAGGCTGAGCTGGCTCCTTGATCCAGACTGGCAGATAGATCTGCACTGTCCACTGGACAAATCGTACCCCCATCCCCTTGTGTTCTTGGTCCTTGTGAGGACGGCAGGAGTTTTGGACACTGAAGATCTCAGGGGAAGTGGAGTTCCCTGAAGACATGACCCATGACCTATGTTCTGTAGTGCCACGGTTTTTTCCGTTTGTTTTGTTTTAGTATTGCCTTTCTGGAGGGTCTTCTCATGCATTCCAGGCTGGCCTGAAATTCACAATCCTCTTGCCTCAGCCTCCTGAGTACTGGGATGACAGTTATGTGCTTCCACTCCTGGCTCTGGTTTTTACTAGGACTAGAGCTGTGGGCAGCAAGGCCTTGTCCTGGCTGCACATCTAGTCCTACTCTGGTAGAGGTGTGTAGGACAGCTAGAAGGCCCCGCAGAGGGGCCAGCACAGCAACTGTTCTCTGGCACTCCAGACCCATCCCTGATACCAAAGATTGAAACCTAACCTGACAGTGAAAGCCACCATCCTTGCATCCTTAAATGTGGACCACCGAGGAGCTGGGGGAGGGCCACAGAGCACAGGACTGGCCCTAGGCCTCTCAGTAGGCAGAGGGGACACAGAGTACATTAGCCCCTAGTATGCCCTCAACATCCATAGGCCTTCGGTCCAGCTTTCCCCTTTCCTGCTGTGTGGCCTCTGACCAGGGCCTGCTGAGCACCCACAGCCCCTATAAGGGGGTCCTAGGCTAAGACAGAACACATTGTTGTTTTGCTGCAGCTACCACGGGTGATGAAACACGAACCACAAAACTTCAACAAACCCACATGGAGTTTATTGGGAAAGGCAAGGAGGGGGGGGGGGGGGGGGGGGTAGGTGTTGACCAAATGGGAACAGAGATGGAAGGGGGGAGGGAAGAGAAAAGAGGGAGGGGGTAGGGAGAGAGAGGGGGGGAGGGAGAGAGGGAGAGAAAGAGAGAGGGAGAGAAGGACAGAGATAGATACAGGTGAATGAGAGAGAGAGAGAGAGAGGGAGGGAGGGAGAGGGAGAGGGAGAGGGAGGAGAGAAGAGGGAGACAGGAAAGTCCGGTCTGCCCCAGGGGCACAGCAGGAAAGAGAGGAGAGGAAAAGAGAAGAGAGGAAAAGAGAAGAGAGCAGAAAGATGAACTGGCGGAAAGACCATTAAGTGGGCAGCGTCTTTCTCTTAAAGGGATCCTTTGCACCTCTGTGGAGCCCTGGGCTGAACCCAGGGTACTGCCTGAGCCAGGTGACAGGGCAGGCCAGCAGAATGCCTGAATCCTTATAGCACATGAGCCTGGTGTAGCTGCTGAAAGTCAGCAGAGGACACCAACAGCTGAGCTGGCCCAGAGCATAATGTGTCACCTGGACCTGGGAGATCTGCCAGCACCAGTGACCCAGGAATGGTTTGAAGATTGTCACTACCTGGAGGACAGGGGATGTGTATACCTACAGCCCTGTGGGGCTAGGGGAGGCTGCCTGTCTCTGAGTGGCTAGTTCACTCAGGTGGTGACCCTCTGACCAGTTTAAGGTCCCTTCCTGTCTCCCTTTGAGAGTTGGTAGCATGAGAGAGCCCTGCATGTGTCTATGTATATTTGTGTTTCTTGCTTCTGACATGTGGTTGAGGGTGTGTCTATGTCTCCAAAAGGGAGTTTGTATCACTTTTCTGGGCCTGTGAGAAGAGGACTGGTAGGGGCAGAGAATGTAGGCATGACTTCAACTTTTGGTTCTTATGGCTTTTTGTCTTTGCACATGGAAGTGTGTTTGTGGAATGTGTGTGTCCATAACTCTAGAGACAGGCACTGTGTAAATGTATGTGCCTCCTTAGGTCAGTAACATGCCAGTTGGAGGTGTCTTTGTGGGATGTGTCTGCATATTCAGGCAAAATACTATATATAAATCTGTGAATGTGGACGTACATATGTGTGCAAGTGTGCACATGTGTATGCTCATCTGTGCAAATGTGTGTGTGTGCCTGTGTGTGTATTCGTATGTGTGGGTATATTGCAGGGAAGTCTTGCCTCCAGCGACATGGATGTATGGATGAATTCAGTGTGTGAAAGGCAGTTTGGTACAGGAGGGACAGCCTAGTTTCTGGATCCTTAGTGTCTCCTTGCTTTGGCTAATGGAAGTCAATACTCCCCTGCTTCTTTGATGGCAGTGGGAAGGCAGGAGCAAGGTGGCTGTCTAGTTGAGGATTTTGAACTCGTTTGTGTGCTCTGCATGGATGATTGTGTGTTTCACAGC